TGAACTTACGTTCCTCTCAAAAAGATATTATTAACCCTCGGTTCTAGGGTTGTATATGAATATAAAAATCTTTTGTAACTTGTAAAGAACAATATCTACACAGGTGGTTGATGAAAAGCACAGAGACGTCCGTGCCTCTAGCAGGAAGGCTGCCCCTCCCCCCTTCTCCACTACAAGCACCAAAATTACAGGCTTTCTCAGAGGTCATAAGACAAAACTCAATTAACTTTTAGCTTCATACGTAATCCTCCAAACAGATAAGCAACTAATTATATTGCCCTAGGAAGCAAGATTACATGCAAATAGATTAAGGCTAAAACACAGTGGTATTTTATCTTCATAAGCAACGAGGCACAATTAAATTTATGAGGTGTCATTACCGAAATAAGAGGTAATTAAGCATTTCTTTATTCGATAAGAGATGTCCAGATTATAGCAGCACCACATGGAAGTGTTAACCGAGCTTGGTTCACCAAGCGAAATTCAAGCCAGATAAAATCCAAACGTATTTTGGACAGTTTTATTTACTGATGCTCAATATTGCAATAAACAACCACCACCACCTGTCATGATCCCCATTTTGCAGTTGAGAAGACAAACACTCTCAGGTAAAATAACTCACCCAGAGTCACACAAAGGGTAAAGATTAAATATACCCCATGAATTAATTAATTACCCACCTTCACCTTACTTGGCATTAATTTATACACAGAGCTATAAAACACAGCACATCGATGTTGTTGAGAATTTCTTAAAAATGAAAAACTTCTATTGAGTTTCCAGTACAGTTCAAAATCTACCTTAACCTAGGACACAATGGTACTAGGTGTTGTGAGGAGTACCAAAAAGTACAAAATATGGCCCCCTCTGTAAGGATAATTAGATTTATTTTGAGCTTTCACTTATATTGGTCTCACTGAAATATCACAACCTTGGAGACAGGCCTGCGTCAGTCCCACTTTAAGGATTCTTGGAATTGCAGAGAATAAATAGTTTTGTGTACAGATGGGTTTTAAATAATAGGTGGAGTCACTTGTTCAGAGTGAGGGGTGGGGGGACATCGAGGGTAGGGAGGTTGGAGCCTGGAAGAGAGGTGTCCCGTGGACCCACCGGGAGGGCCAAGGTAACGCCACGTAGACTCGAGAAGGTTTGCCAAGTGCCAAACCAAGGGTGGCTCACATTTTATATGCGGGAAGGCTATCAGACACATTTTTTTTAAAGATTTTATTTATTTATTTATTAGAGAGCGAGCGAGAGAGAGCACATGAGAGGGGGGAGGGTCAGAGGGAGAAGCAGGCTCCCCGCCAAGCCGATGCGGGACTCCATCCTGGGACTCCAGGATCATGACCTGAGCCGAAGGCAGTCGCTCAACCGACTGAGCCACCCAGGCACCCTGGCTATCAGACACATTTTACATGCTAAATGTCCCAGGGGCTCATCTTCTTTCTTCACCTCACCCTAAAAACCCATTTACCCAGAATTTGAGATAACAAACATCAGTCAATCCACCAGGCATTTCCTGAATGTGCAAGTAGCCGCGGTTAATGAGGTTCATGAAAAACCTCAGCCGGAGAGCATTTCATTAACTGCTGTCACAACTTATCAGCTCAGCCTATGCAAACATTCCGAATCGCAGCTGTGTATCAGGAAGGACCAGGTCCCTCTTCGCCTACCCTTCCCTCTCCTCTAGGACATACAGGCACTGCCATCCTGTGGCCAGAGAGGGCACGGCCACGCCATTCTGGACAAACTCTACAAAAATGTCTCCCAACTAGAAGGACTGAACTTGAGTGGAATAAGAAATGGAAAGGCGGGCGCCTGGGTGGGTCAGTTGGTTGGGCGACTGCCTTCGGCTCAGGTCATGATCCTGGAGTCCCGGGATCGAGTCCCGCATCGGGCTCCCTGCTCGGCAGGGGGCCTGCTTCTCCCTCTAACCCTCCCCCGTCTCATGCTCTCTCTATCTCATTCTCTCTCTCAAATAAATAAATAAATAATCTTAAAAAAAAAAAAAAAGAAATGGAAAGGCAAGTCTCAAATTAAACAACAGACATATTCAGGCAGTCCCCAGTTTAAGACATGTGCTTATATGGTGGCTGTTTGGAATCCAAGACGCATTTTCTCTTCGAAAGAACCTGTGTGATGAGCTTCTACGGCCTGTGTACCAACACGTATGTAACCTGCAAACTGAGCATACGACACCACTCCAACCATGCCTCACAGCCCCTTGTAGCCGGTCTCCTCCCGGAGCGTGCGTGGGGCTCCGGCTGAGGATGGCATCTCGCCTCGCTCTGGGGCGGCGCTGTTCCCACTCCTCCCCCCTCGGACTGAACACTTAGCTAAGAGACATGCTGTCGGTCACACAGGCCCTGAAGTGGCTCCTGTGCCATTAGCCTGTCGGGCCCCAGCGAGGCAGATGTTCCTGGACACTCCCCAACTCTACGGTAGCTAAGGAGAAGGAAGAATGCTCCTGAGATACCTATCAAACATTCTGAGCACCTCTGAAGAGCCTCCTCAATCTGTGCTGGGTGCTGAAAATACAGAGAACCGTAGAACGTGGTCTCTGCCCTTCAGAAGCCACTGTCCAGTGGGACAAATAGACACAGAAGTCCGAGCTTACAGTACGATGTCGTAAGTGCCACGGGAGGGACAATGACGTTATTATAAAGTGAAGGCCATGTGTTGGGCTCTTCCTTTAATAAGCTTTTATATAGTACTGGTTATGCTCCAGGTGCTATTTTAACTGCTTACAAACCTCAACACATTCATCGCCATCTGAGACTGGTACTGGGATTGTCCAAGTTTTACAGATGAGAAGCTGGGAGGTTGAGTTGCAGATACGGGATCTGGACCCAGTCGGTCTGCAGTGATGAGCAGATGAGAAAACACGAATCACAGCTCTGTGACAAAGGTCTGTTGTGCCTGTTTGACAGACAGGCCCCCGAGGCTCTCCTCCTGCCCACTGCGATGTGCGGCTTCACGCTGCCGTGGAAGCAGAGGCGATTCATCCGCTCAGACCAGGGGTTGGAGCTGGCTTCCCAGAGGGGAGAGTTCTTGAGGTGTGTAGGAAGTATGACTTGGAGACAGGTATTCTGGGCAGCAGGAAGAGCGTGTGCCAAGATTCAAAGGCATTAAGGGCAGGATAGAAATGGGAACTCTACGTGATTCACTAGGACCAGAGGGGATGCCAGTGTGAACAGGAGACAAAGCTAGGAAACGCAGGCAGGAGCAGTACGCAGTCCCATTGGGGTTACAGATTTAAGTATGAAGTGACGTCATCAGATTTGGCGATGCCTTGGTGGGACGCCAGATCATTAGGTGAACTAATTAGGAGGCCATCACAATAACCAAGGCAGTAAGTCTCAACTAAGGTACTGGCCCTTAGGATAGAGAAGAAAAAATGCGTTATGATAGGTTTCTTTGTATAGGGATTTGTCTTCACTGTTCATTAGCCCTGGACACCCCCCATCACCTGTAGGGTAAAGCCCAAACCCTTTGGATGGCCGACAAGAGCCGGTTCCATCTGAGCGGAGCTTCTCTTTTGGCAGGAAGCTTCCCTTAGGGCATGTGGGCAGGTGGCCGTGGGACACCAGCCTGCTCGCTGTCCCCTCACAGGCTGTGGTCCTAACTCCTCTATGCTTTTCCAAAGGCTGTTTCCTGGGCCTCTCAGATGCCCTCTTCTTTGTCCTCTTGGTGAACTGTTACTCATTCAAAACCCATCTCAAATGCCCCCTCATTGACTTAGCAAACGCTGAGCATCTTTTCGTGGAGATCCTCTTGGTATGAGATGCTTGGATGACACACAACACGGCCATTGGTGAATTCAACTGCAAGACGCCCTTCTTTTTCTTGACTTGCTCCATTCCACATCCATCTTCTACCAGGGATTCTCAGACTTTAGCATGTGTCTGGATCACCTGAGAATCTTGTTAAAAAAGCATATCCAACTTCAGTGGTTCTGGGTTAGGACCTGACATTCTGCATTTCTAACAAGATCCCAGGTGATGCTAATGCTGGTCTGCAGGCTGCATTTGAAGAGCAAGGCTTATACATTTTCTCAGTATAGTCTGATGAAAAAGCAATAAAAGCAATAATTTTTGTTTTTCTACACCAGACTCTTTGTTGAGGTAAAATTTACATACAGTGAAATGCACAGGATTTAAATGTACAATTCCATGGGTTTGGACAAATGTATACACCCCTGTGACCCAGACCTCTCAAGAACATTCACAACGTTGCCAGAAAGTGCCCTTGTTCCCCTTTCCATTTCATCCTCCAAGTAAAGAGGGACCCAAAATGAGGCAGTACAAGGAAATAGCTTTCTGATTCAGGAGGCTTGATCACAGGATAAATTTAAAGAGGGGCAGGAAAAACTACACATCGTTCAGGCACTCCTACATAAAGAATATCAACGACTGATCTAACTAATAATAGTTGGAGCTATTATCCTCGTGTCTTCGTTCATTTTTCAGTAAAGAACTGCTCATACCCGGACCTGTGTTTTGCATGGACTAGCGTGGTGAACACAGAGGCCCTGTGCTCAGGAAGCTAGCTCAGGCCTCGCAGGGGAAACAGACAAGGAGCCTGGGGGAGGCTTCCGGCACACGGGGCATCCCTGGCCAAGACCAGGAAGGCTGGGGAGGAGGAGACAAAGTACACAAGTCATTCATAAGTCTCACTCTTGCACGGCAATTTGCAAAACTTCCCTAGGGATCGCCTCTCTTCGCAACGGCCCCATGCCAAGACAGGTACGACCATTCCCCTCTTATAGCTATGAAAACGGAAGCTTGGAGAGATCATCTAATGGTCACACGTTGGCAAGTTGCAACGCGAGGCCTTAGCTCCCTGGAAGCGCTCATGCAGGTTGTGGCCAGCTGGGTGGCAGGAATCACAAGGTGCTCACCCTAGGAGCCCAGACACTAGCCCCGGCTGGAGCGGTAGGCCTGGCTCACAGGAGCTGGCCTCTGGTATCCTTGATGACCCACTCCCTCCTGGGAGGGGAATCTTGGGCTCTGGTGCAGTCCCCTCGGGGGCATCCCCTGTGTGCGGCCCCCACAAAATGGCTGTTCTAATCGCCACCCACGCTCCCTTGTGTTTTAGCATTTTGGCGCCCTGCTCCTGCACCATGAAAATCCTGCTTTGTGATCTCCTGCTGCTCAGCCTCTTCTCCAGCGTGTCCGGCAGCTGCCAGAAGGACTGCCTGACCTGCCGGGAGAAGCTCCGCCCAGCTCTCGACCCCTTCAACCTTGAGGTAGGCCCTGGAGCATCCCTGTCTTCTCCTCCCCCCTGCCTCCAGCCCCAGAACGAGAAGGCACGGCCTTGCCCGGAGGTGACGTGACTGGCCTGGTGTCACGCGGTCCGCAGGAAACAGGTGCAGGGCGTTCCCATCTTCTAAGGGCAAACCCTGTCATCTTCCCACTTTTCCACACTCAAATAAAGGCCTGCCTGTGCTGCCATTTTTTCCCCGTTATGAAAATAATGCATACTCATCTTGGAGAATTTGGCAAATTCCGAGAAGTCTAAAAAAAGAAAAGAAAGAAAATTACCTTTAATCCCAGAGATTGTCGGAGAAAGAACCCTAGTTTTTTCACTTGCTATATTATACCAGCATAATTTCCCCATGTTATTAAACATTATTTTAAGTTCCTTCTTTCTACGAATACAGCATAATTTGCTTAACTATTCCCCTCCTGTTGAACATCTACATTGCCCTCCATTTTTGATATTATAGGTAATTCTACAATGAATACCTTAATGCTCCCTTATACTTTAAGTTTTGAACTTGAGGTGCAAATCTGGCATTAAATTTCTTTTCATTAAATAAACTGCTTTCTCAACTGCTTTCATGTCAGTCTAAATAGTTATTCCTCTAGTAAATCCAATACAATACAACTCAATTATTTTTTTCTTTGCAGTCAGACTTCTTTCAAAAGATGTCATATTTCAAACCCCTCAACCTTTATTTTTTTAAAGATTTATTTATTTATTTTTAAGATTTTTTTTTTTTTTTTATTCATTTGAGAGAGAGAGAGAGTGAGAGCACGAGCACAAGCAGGGAGGAGGGTCAGAGGGAGAGAAAGAAGCAGACTCCTTGCTGAGCGAGAAGCCCAAAGCAGGGTTCAATCCCAGGACCCCAGGATCATGACCCAAGCCCAAGACAGATGGTTAACTGACTGAGCCACCCAGGCACCCCTTCTTTATTTATTTTAAAGAGAGAGAGATTGGGGGGAAGGAGAGAGGGAGAGAATCCCGAAACAGTCTCCCCACTGAGTGTGGAGCCTGACTCGGGGCTCGATCCCAGGACACTGAGATCATGACCTGAGCTTAAATCAAGAGTCAGCCACTTTAACCAACTGAGACATCCAGGCGCCCCTCAAGCTGCTCAACCTTTAAAAACAACCAAAAGTAACTACTGTCCCTTAAGGCGAGTGTGGAGATATAGAACATATATTCACACTGGGCAGGCTCACTAACGATGAGCAGACACAGCCCCCACAGACCCAAACACCAAGCTCTTCCCGCACCTGCTCAGTGGTTTTCGAGCCTGTTTTCTATATGCTGAGCCCAGGGCCAGGCCAAGGGATCCAAAGGTAAGCAGATGGATGGAGTTTGCAACCAGTGGAAGAGAAGATCCCACAATCCCTCCAAGAGGGATTAATTACTGGGTGCTGGGGAAGCACAGAGCAGTGGCCCCCAACCTAGACTAGAAAGACAGAGGGGGCTTTTGGAGGAACAGAAGTATCTAAGGAGACCTAAAGAGTGGGAGCAAAGAGGCAGGGAGATTGCTCCAGGGGGAGGAGGGAGGCAGGGAGCACCTGAGAAAATGCCTGTACCTGGATAGGAAGTGGCATGTAAGGAACCTAAAAAACTGAGTTTGGAACCCAGGAGGCCCACAGGCCTTTGCGGTGCAGCCCAGAGAGGTTTAGAAGTTCATCTACGAAACACTTTCCCCTGATCTTAGTAAACAGAGCAGACAACTTAGTTTACATGTAAACCAGTGACGAGTTGATAATCTGATAATCACCACCCTGCTCAATTCCCAATTTGCAGTCTAGACAAGACAGAAAGTCATGCACAATTCTGGAATCTTTCATGGCAACCCTTTATTTTCCGCTCAAAAAAAGCATTAGGACTTAAACATATTTGTGCACCCGGGGAGGAATCTACACTTGCAGCTTTGACCCCTTACTCCTTAGCTGCTGTCTCCAGGGTCTGGGGCCAATTTGCAGGCTTCCTCCTCCTTGTCCTCTCCTGGTGACCTTGCCTGGGTCTCTTCCCCATTCCAACTCTTCTTTTTCTACTTCCTGTTGGGCTCCTACTCCCCTCCCCACTCCATAAACACAAGTGACACCCAAGATTCGGGGCTTATCTCCCCATACCCTGTCCTTCTGAGATGCCATCCCTGGATCCCAGGCCTTCGGCTCTCCCCAAGCTGCAGGTGACTCCCCAAGGTACACTCCTCGCCTCAGTCACTTTTCATAGTTCCTGACAAATCCCTCTTTCCCTTCCTGGCCTTCCCAAGGCTTCAGGAACTCGCCCCACCATTCTGTGCATGTCTCTCTCTCCTCCTTCATCCAATACTCCTACTTCAAAACTCAGATTAAACTTCACCTATGAGAACACTGTGCTGATTCTCCACCTGTCCCCAGCAGAGCCAGCCCCTCGCTCCTTTATGTCCTGACAGTTACTTGTGTCGGCCAGTCTCTCCCCATAAGGTGTTTCTGACTGTGCTAGGGATCCCCAGCGTGCGGCACAGAGCCGTACTCAGTGAACAGCGTCCATGGTAATTGTAAGACTGCAAGATCCTTAGTCTCCTAGTGGGTCCAACCCCTGCAGATGCTGCAGAGTTTTTACACTGGTGTCTTCCAAAGCCAGTAAAGAATTTGGAGCATGCTTCCATCCCTCCCTTGCATCTTAAATCTCTGGGGTCCAGACGTCACTGTTAGATACTTCTTTGAAACAAGTTAGAATATGGCCAGTTAGAGCCTCCACAGTGAGGAATAAATCTTTCAAAGTGCTTGCTGACCCTCAGAGGAGCTGACTGCCTGGCTGTTTTGTTTCTAGTTTGTGTTCACTTTTAACCTATTTTTAAAAGTTTGGTGAAATGCCTAGAATGTTGGCAACCACATCTCATTTCCAAATCTTGCAACCCTTTTCCAACTCTGTGAATTATGGGGGCTGGGGGAACTTAGATATTTTAGCAAGGATCATCTTCCCAATCCCTACACTAAATTATGTAATACTGAGCTATTCCCAGGACTCCCTAAATCCTTGGCTTTATCAAGAAGTTCTGTATTTCTCACTCCAGATCAACGGTCCAAGTATGGCTGGCTTTTTGTTAGACTATAAGTTGGGTCGGTAAATGACTCATACACCCAAACCCATTGCAATGTCTTGGGCTTCCACCTATGAATGATACCTACTCCATCAGCTTACATAGAAAAAACTAGATTCACCGAGTCATTTTAGAGGCAAACAAGAAGGTAACCCTCAAGGTCTGGGGAATTTTATTTACAAACTCCTGAAACTTGATTAATAGCAAAAGAAACTAACTTCTAGTGCTTTCTATCCTTCAATACAAGAAAATTCTTACTTGTTGATTTGCAGTTAAGAGTTCCTAATATGGGGGTGCCTGGGTGGTTCAGTCGTTAAGCGTCTGCCTTCGGCTCAGGTCACGATCCCAGGGTCCTGGGATCAAGCCCCGCATTGGGCTCCCTGCTTGGTGGGAAGCCTGCTTCTCCCTTTCCCACTCCCCTTGCTTGTGTTCCTGCTCTTGCTATCTCTCTGTCAAAATAAATAAAATCTTTAAAAAAAAAAAAAAAGAGTTCCTAATATGTTTTTCTCTTGCACTATTCATCTGCTTGCCTACTAGTGTTAGCCCTCAGATATTCTAGCAGAACCTCCCAAAGCAAGTAGCTCCCAAATGTCTCTTGGTCAGAGGTGATTCGATCCTTTGGCAGAAACTTGACAATCTCAATGAGCCTCTTCTTTTCCTTCCAATGGGTTCATGTGCTCTATTTCCCTAATGTTTGATCCCAGACCTCCAAATGGCCCTTTGCTCAGTTTCCCCACAAACCCAGCTTTACAGATCAATTTGGCACCAGTCTGAGACTTTCCAGATGCTCATCCACACTCTGGCTTAATATAGCAATGTCATCAGCGTGGGCTGTGAAAGTGTGTCCAGCTCACTTAATAGGCCATTAACCAGTCTCTGGAAAGAGGCCGTTGGGTCCCTTAGACCAGAGTGTTAGGCATTAAGCTCATCTGCCCATCTGGTGCTACAAATGCTGTTGTGAATTTGGATTCCTCACATTTGCCCAAAACCTTCTCCTAAATCAAGAGTTGAGATGATTTTGTTAGTATCTAATTCATCTAACAGTATGTTGAATCTCTGTACAGCCTATGCATCTGGTTTGATCATAGAATTGTATTTTCTCTGATTGACACCTAATCTAATTACCATCTGGGCTTAGCAACCCAGGGGCTCACAGAAGATCTAATAGCCTCTAGGTTTAACAACTTCCACCTGTTCTTGTAAATGGAAGGAGCAGAATCGTTCAAAAAGCGTTTGGGGCTCCTATTCTGTGAGGAGTGGACCGAGTCTACTCCAAGTCCATGTTAGCTCCAAAGTTGTACACTTCTGCTGGATTTCCCAATACTCCCCATGCTTTCCTGCTTTCCCCTGTAGGATTCCTCACCACTGTGGACATTTTAGGCTGGGTAATTATTTGTCATGGGGGGCTGTCCGGTGCATTGTGGGGGGGTTTGCCAGCCTCCCTGGCCTCTGCTCATAGGTTAGCAGTGGCATCTCCCCTCCCCCTCCCCACCATGTAACAACCAGAAATGTCTCCAGACATTGCCCAATGTCCCCTGGGGACAAAATTGCCCCCACTAGACACCCACTGCTATAGAGTAATCACCCAATAGGATTATGATCTGAAAGATCGTACTACAAGTTTTTCTACCTGGTTTACTTCAAAGTATTTCAGGAGCAAGCTAAATACAGACCCTTTCTCTGAGGGAGACTCCGACCACTGTATTCCGTGATGACACCTTCCTCCTCAGGGCAAGTTCCAAAGCAGGATTTCTCAAAGCACAGTCCAGCCTCAGAATCACCTGGGTGTTTGCTAAAAATGCAGATTCCTCAGCCCCGCCCTTGACTTACTAGATGAACATCTCCAGGAGTAAAGGCTAAGGAGCTGCATTCTAACAAACCAGTAGCAATTCTCAGGTTTGTAGCTACTATTGTGTTAACATCTGCCCTTCCCACCTATGTAGAAGCTGCTTTCATACCCAGGGACACTGGGGTGTGAAAAAGTGATTTCTCTATGTATCTCTGCTGAGTTGGCACCGATGATATTAGTTCTATCAGCATCTCTGCGGAAAATCTAAACGGAAAAGACATGCTCGTGACTTGTGTATCAGCAGGGACCACCGTGACTACCTCTGGCTAGTCGGGGCGGGGGGCGGGGGGGAGACTCCGCAAAGGCTGCACCTGGGAAACTGCATCAGTGAAGAAGAGCGGCACTCCCACTGGCCACTGTCTCTTTCTCCTCTCTGGCCCAGCGGAAAATGAGCGATTTTCCCATCAGAACTTTACCTTTTAGTCTCGAAATACCCTTACCTACTCTTGTACTCATTTGCACCAATTTGCATTGCAACACACAGAGCTCACTGAATAAGAGATGTCCTGGGCTGGAACTCGAGACATTTGGGTTCTTGTTCAGGTAATATCTTGTCTAACGGTGTAGTTTTGGACACATTACTGAACCTCATCATAACATGGGAACATGGAATATGTCAGTGGTTACCAAACCTACGCAGATACCAGAATTACCTGAGCTTTGTAAAAGTTAAGTTTAAATCCTGGTTCCATTCCTCAGGAATTTAACCGGCTTTTGAATTCCGTCTTTTTAGAAGTTCTGAGGGGCACCTGGGTGGCTCAGTTGGTTAAGCGCCTGACTCATGATCTCAGGGTCATGGGATCGAGCCCCAGGTCGGGCTCTGCTTCTCTCCCTCTCCCTCTGCCCCTCCCTGCCCCCACTCGCTCTCTCGCTCTCTCGCTCTCACCCTCGCTCTCAAATAAATAAGTCCTGAGATGATCTGGATTCACACCCAGACCAAGCAGAAGAGCAGACTTAAGGTGGAGAAAGTATATTAGATAATTAAATTCACCTGCCAGTAAGAAAGACCTAAAGTAACAGTGGCTTAAATAAGACAGAGATCTGATTCCTCATAAGGAAGCTGGGAGGTAGACAGTACGGGGCCGGGACGGCAGTTCTGACACATCAGCCATGTCCCAGGCTCCTTCTCCTTCTACTTCACCTGTATACCAGTGCCACTCTCACGTGGCTTCCGTCCCCTCAGTCACTTCACGGCTTCAAGATAGCCCATTGAGCACCAGCCAAAACGCCCACATTCTAAGCAGGAGGCTGGAGGAAGGGGAGAAAGAAGGGAAAAAGGATGCTCTCCCCAGATAAGTCAGCCTCCTGCTTTCCCAGAAGCCCCACCTGGTTACTTCCATTTATATGTCATTGGCCATATATGTGTGGCCTTTCTTCCTGAAGGAAGAAAACAAGTGTTCTGTTAGGAAGGAAGAGGGGAGATGGGTATGGAATGGACAACTGGCAGTCTCTGCCCCAGAGGGAATTCTTAACAAATTGCATTTAAAGTGCTAGTCAGACACTTTGAAGGAGATACCAGACAGAGATCAGAGAAGTGCTGGGAGTTCAATGTCAGGGGCTGGACATACAGACATGGGATGCCCTGAAAGGAATGACCAAAATCACAGAAATGAACAGTCACCAAGGGGCAGATTGTAAAGAGAGATGAGAAGAATCTTAAAGATAGAATCTTAGGAACACAGGAGGAAGGAGCACAAACAGTCTGAGAGGTGAGTGCAATGTCAGAGAATTTTCAGGAGGGTGTGGTCTGCATTGCCAAAGGCAGCACAGTCTGTGAAAATGAGGGCTGATTGGATCCAGTGACCGGGAATTCACTGGTGGTCCTCGAGAAGGCAGCTCGCGGAAGATGAGGGCGGGAAGCAGATTTCAAGGAGATGCGGCAAAAATGGAAGATGCTGAGATGGAGGCATGAGTGCAGCAGACCACATCTTGGAGAAGCTTGGCGGGGACAAAAGAGGGTCAGGGTTAGGGGTGGCAAAGGGTTGTAGGAGAAGTAAGACTGGAAGAGCCATTTTTTCAGGTTTGGTGGGACAGCTGTAAGGTGTGTGATTTAGCTGCCTGAACATCGCACTCCTTGGTTAGGGATCAGGTTGGGAACTTTGCCCATATTGGTATCTGTTCCACTCTGGACATGGGGGGCAGGGTTTCAATCCCCAGAAAGGGGGTATCGGGCACACAGTCTTCTGACGTCCTGCAGCTGTCCAGATAGAGCAGTAACTCTTGATGCCCCGTTAGCCAGGCAAGAGCTCCAAGTTTGATGAAGGGCTCCACGGCTGCCCACTGACCATAATGGCAAGGCCAGGTTGAAGTGGGATTTTCATCTGGATGAGCACAGAAACACAGAGAAGCGTTCGGGGTGAAACCAAAACAGCAGATAGTAAGAGAAGTTGGAGGTTAGATGCTTCCAAAAGACCCAACCAGAGATAGGAAAGTGGGAGGTAGGGGCAAGGCCAGGACCATTCAGGAGGGGTGTGGAAACATCATGGCCAGGCTCTCGGTCTAGACTAGGAGTGGGAGATACCTGAAGACACAGAGCAGCATGAGAAGTTCCCAGGGGCCTGGCAGGTCCACTGGATAGCATCTGATGGTCCCTCTTCCCCACCTGAACCCGATTGTCAACCTGCCTACGTTCCAAAGGGTCTTGACCCTCGTTTTCTATAACTGATGCGCAGATAGTGATAACTAGTATATGTGGGATGAAAAATGAACACCACTAGGGTTCCTCTTAACATGGTGACCTTAAAATGGCCATGCAGATATAAGTACATGCTTTGACATCCGCAACTTCTTAAACCAATCTGACCTCTCTCAAGCCTGATAAGAGAACAAAATAAAATTCTCCATTATGGGTGACCCTCGTGAATTGTGTTTGGCTCCAAAAACTCACCTAGGGCTCTAACTGGGTGTAGTTCGGGGCACTCATTCTGCGTTGACTTTCTGTGTCACCTGGGGTAAATTAATCTCACCTCTCTGAGTCCCGAGTTTCTTCATTTGTGAAATGACGGAGCTGGGACAGATAGTTTTCTGTGTCTCTGCAACTCTGAAATTCTATGAACCTGAGTAACTACATGTAAAACTGCTACATGGTCCTTAATAAAGAGATGCTTCAGAGTCACTTGCATTGGTACCGATGTGGATTTGGTATCCAACAGAAAGACTTTATGTCATTGCCTTGGACTAACAGACATTCCCAATTCTTCTCCTTTCTCCGGCCTCTGTCTTTGCAGGTGTGCATCCTTGAGTGTGAAGGGAAGGTCTTCAGCAGCCCTCTCTGGACTCCGTGCACCAAGGTCATGACCAGGGGCTCCTGGCAGCTCAGCCCTGCTGACCCAGAGCACGTGGCAGCTGCCCTTTACCAGCCCAGCGCCTCTGAGATGCAACTGAAGCGCATGCCTCGCATCAGGAGCCTAATCCAAGCCCAGAAAGGGACAGAGCCCGGCATGGATGAGGCTGGAGAGATGGAGCAGAAGCAGCTGCAGAAGAGGTTCGGGGGCTTCACCGGGGCCCGCAAGTCAGCCCGGAAGTTGGCCAACCAGAAGCGGTTCAGTGAGTTTATGAGGCAGTACCTGGTCCTGAGCATGCAGTCCAGCCAGCGCCGGCGCACCCTGCATCAGAATGGTAATGTGTAGCCGGAAGGGGAGCCCCCCCCCAGCTGCACCGTCCACTTCAACCCATGAGTGAGTTGGGCACGAATGAGCTGGGGGTGAAAAGAAACCTTATATACCCAACTGTCTTAGCCTTCCTCCTGGGCCTGGAAGCACATTAGCCCCCAAATACATACACACACACCCCACACCACCTCAAGGTGTTCAGCTCCTGGGAGGCCGGGGAGGTATATATTCACCTCCCCCACCTCCTACCCACCCTTTCTCTAGGGAGCAAAGATTTTCCTAGGCTTGCTCCTTAAGGCTGACCACTGCCATTTAGAGACTGGTTACCATGGGGATAATAGTAGCACGTTAAGATAACTAATTCCTCCATAGCTCTCCAGGAGCTCAGTTACTATGGGGACAGTTAAGTGGACCAATCTGCCTATCCAGTTGCCATAGCAACCATTCAGTTCACCTTTCCTCAGAGTCTATCTCTAAGAACCCATAGCTGGACCTACCTCTAGCCATTTGCAGTCTGATTTCTGTGGCCGTGATGTTGCTATCTCACCTCTGAAGACAGCTTAGCTCTCTCCTCCCCTACCCCCTGTAGCTCGAGGGGACTGGATTCCACGGAAACCACTGCCCTTTCCCACTCTCCCCCTGTCAAGGAGTTCTTGTTAGGACCAGGAGTTACACTTTCAGCTCTTCTTCCTTCCACTCCTCATTTGTCCATCCTGCCACCTTGCCGGAGATGGACTGATTCCCTGAAGTCGATGGCATCATCCCTGAGCAAGACTTGGAGAATCTGGCCCACCTGACCAAGTAGTTTTTGAAAAGAGACTAACAGATCATCATCTTTCCTCACTTCCGCTTCTTCCCGAGAGCCATTTTTGGTTTTTTTGTTTGTTTGGTTGCTCGCTTGCTTGCTTTTACTCCTCTCTCCCTCCGGTCCTTCCCTCCATGGGAATGCTTATACACGTACTATATTACAAATCAGATAATAATCAAAACCCCTAATTTATTGCCCAGTCATTACAAACTCCACTCTCCCCAGCCCATCAACCTGTATAGAACTTCAAGAGGCATAGGAAACTAGCACATCGGAATTTTCTGAAAATCTAAGAAAACCCCACCCATCAGGCATATGTGCCTTAATTCATATATGGGAATCTGATTATCTACAAAGCCTTATACCTCTTCTTTAACAGTCTAGAAACTCACCCTAATGGAAAGAACTAATCAGTTGGCCAAAAACATTCCCCAAACATTACCCAAGCGGGACTTCTCCCTAACTCAGGGGCATTAAAAAGAAGAAAAAAGTCTACATGTGCTGTTTTATTTTGCTTTCCATGTGTCAAAGGTAGCCAGATCATTAATAATCTTCATTCAAAGCGTGTTAATACAAAGGTTAATCTTTGGCACCCACACTTCAGCATGGGGCAGCCCACGAAGCTCTTTGCAGGTAAGCTGGTTTGCAAAAGGCCCATTGCCAAATACAGACGTCGGTATTAAGTTGTGAGGAGAAGGCTGCCATGTGTATTTTAGCAGAATGACTAATCTCCAAAGGCCCTGAATTAACCCGCACCATTTTTGAAGTCATATTCTTGGATTCTTAACAAGCATCCTATTTCTTCCTAAGCCATATTTGCACAGTACCTAATACAGTGTATCTTTCAGAAGTAGCATGGATTGAATTCTTTCAAATCTTAGACATTTATTCTTCTTAAAGTGGCTCTTAAGGGACACTGAGGCTCTTGTCTAATTCTGAACCACAACTGTTTTCTTTACCTAAAGACAGTTTAAAATCAGTCACATTAGCAGGAATCAATTCATTAAAAAAAAAAAAAAAACCCTATTTAAGCCCCAATTGAGACAATTGATTCTGCTAGTTTTCTATTAAGCTTCCAGCTGAGAGGCACTGAAACATAACTGGTAACTAGCTTCTGTCTGCTGCTTTGCTCAAGATGTAAAGTTCTTGATGGAACCATTGGAAACGTTAACCAGCTCATCTGGATGTATTACTGATTGCTCTCCTTTCTCTTTCTGCAACCATCTCTCTGTTTCCTTTTTTGCACACATTCATGGTGGCTGAGTTCCAGTAGGGATATGTACTTACGAGTCCACCCCGAGCACCTTAAACCCTGTCTTCACTCACCTACACACACCCCAACCAGCCCCACACACACCTGAGATGTCTCCATGGCCGGGGGGGGGGGGGGGGGGCGGCGGGGAAAGATCCTGTTGCCGGGCTGTTCTGGACTTCCAAGATACCCAATACCAAACTATACTTGCAAGGCTGCAGGAAGTGGGGCCTCCTCACACCAAAATGGGTAAAGAACCCTATTTAGAAGGTGTAATGTGTTAGGAAGGAGGGACACTGAAGTGCAGGGACAGTCCTAGACAGAACTGTGCAAAGGGGTGTCCACCTCCTGTCCCTTTCCCTGTCCCTATTCTACTCTATCTTCTGCCCCACACCTTGACCCTTCCCAACAGAGGAAAGTGAGCAGATTCATTCATCGTGAGGAATTGGTGAAATCAGGTTTGAAGAGATATATAAGAGAGCCATAAATGAGAACACTATTTAGCCTCAAGAAATGAATTTTTGCACATGGATTCCAAATATTAGGGCTAAGAGAGCTGTTTCTGGGCACTAGGCCTATGCTGTGCCTTTCAGGTCTCAGCCCACAGACCTCCTCTTTATTCTGAGTCCTGCCAGTAGACTTGAGGCCAGAAAAAGCAGGGACATAGGGGAAGTTAGGGAAGCCTACTTGCGGCTTAGGAGCTCTTCACTCAGTTGATAAGCTTTTCATTGCCTCCCTATTATTGCTCAGGCAAATGGGATTGAAAGGTCAGAAAAACCTATTGGGTTTGCCATTTTAATCACTTCTGTCTCCCCAGGTGTCCGGGTGATCCCCAAAACAGCATGTCTCCAGCCCCAGACCTGCCGGCTGGGAATCGGGACTCCTCCTTCCCCAAGGCACTGAGGCAGGATTTGCCTCCAGGTCTCCGCCCCCAGGGCAGAGACCCTCCCTGTCCAATTGTCTTTCCCTCCCCATTCCCCCACCCCACCCCCATGGCATGTTTCATGACAACCTTGTTGCTACATCAGAGTGTATTTTTGTAATTCCTCCAGCTAACATAGAAACAGCCCCATTTTTCCTTCTCACTCCCCTTTCTTCTAACAGGGGTGGGTCAAAGGAACAGGAAACCAAGCCTGGGGTTTTGACTTGTCACTGCCATAACTTGTTTGTAAAAGAGCTGTTCTTTTGGACTGATTGTTTAAAACAGGTATTTCTCCATTAAACTTCTACTGAGCAAATGGTTAATAAACTGGTTGGCTGTTTTTAAGTGAGGTAACTGAGACCTGAGCCATCAGAGTCGCCTCTCTTGGGAAGCAGAGGCAAAAAGCACACGGCTCTGCTTGATATAAAGCACGACAGGCAAGAATATGCGAGCATAAATACCCCAATTGTGCTGGGTCTCCAGATCCAAGTGCGTGAATGGATTGGGGGAGGGGGGTGGCAGGGTGCTCGGTACCTCCCAGTGCCCATCAGCACCACCACTCGGGCAGCTCACTGGGCTCCACCCCCAGTTTCTGACTCTGGAGGAATTTGCATTTTTAACAAGTTCCAGGTGACACAGATCTTGCTGGTTTGGGACCACTGGATGGAGACAAGGAAAAGGGCAGTGTCATTTTTATCTCCAATTTAACATGAAACATGTTAAGGAGTAACTGTCAGGCCAAGAAACATGGTGCACCCAGACAGGGTCAATGAGGAGAGTCAACTGTCTACAGTGCAGACGGGGTGATGGGAAATCAGGAAGAGAGGGTAAGGAGCTCTTCCGGGGAGTCCTGGTGAGGGGGAGTTACTACTGGAACCCAGGGAGAACTGCAGCTCCGCCCCCCCCCCCCCCCCCCCCCCCGTACCTCTCAGCAGGGAAACGGTAGCCATTCAGACATTGTGTGGTGCAGGAAGGGCCAGGAGACGCAATATCCCAACTTCTCTCTCCTCCGGCCCTTTAGACCCCAGTCTGGTCTCACCTGTTGATCAGATCCAGCTGGAAGCTGGCAAGTTAGAGTGCGTGCATGCAGCCATCAAGGTGAGCCTGGGAGGTGCAAATGGAGAATGTGCAGCCCAAAGTCACAACCGATGTAGAAGGGCTTGGACAGACTGTAGCTTAGCAGTGGATTCTACTGGGACTTTTCTTGGGGGCGGGGGCGGGGGGGTGGGGGCAAGGAAAAAGGGGCAGAAAGAAGCCCTCTGCTCTACCACAAGGTAACGGAAAAGGCCAGAAGAGCACCCCCATACCAGCATTACCAGCTGCTGGGCTTGAGTGATGTAATCCAGCCCTGGGGTCTGGGTCACATCACTCTCTCCGTCAGGCCCCGTTAGGGGTCCCTAGGTCCCACTCCCAGAGATGCCTGTGGTCCCGGAAGCTAAACTTGCATACAGCAGTTCCAGTACAGCAAGAATAGGATGTTACTTTCTGCTTCCCACCAAGACCAGCTTTATCTAGCCCTTTGCGCCATCACGGGACATGGAATCAATGAACTCAGGGAGTGCCCCGTGTTGCTCCCTGTAGTCAGAACCCATCCCATAAGCAGAATATGACTTTTTCCTAAGTCATCTGCCAATTCCTCAACAAACTCAGGAATATAGCCAAGAACATGCTCCCCACTGTCCATATAAGCAGTACAGAAAAATGCTTACTGCCTGGGTTACAAATCTTAGTGCCCTCATTTCCCAGTCTATGACCTCGGGTAAGTTCTTTAACCTCTGTGCCTCCCTCTTCTCATCTGTAAAATGAGAATAGTAGTAGTAACTCTTTCATTGGGTTATTTAGGTAAGCACTTGGTTATTCATGTGAGGACTCGGCCTGGCCCCCGGTAATGGTCCCTATTATTATAAGCTAATGAACGTGTACGCCTGGCCCAAATGCCATCATTTGTTTACCACCACCACCAACAGTAATCTTATCCTTTATAGGAGGAGGGGGTAGAGGGACAGGCACACATTAAATGAGACAATGTACCATTTTATTCCTTATAAAATATATTTCATATTGTTGCTGTAAAAACATTACATTTCACATTTTTAAAAAAATTTTCTTAACAGTAAAAATAATACTTGGAAGACAGCTGGGGGAAAAGGCGCCAATAAGACAAATTCACAGATGGGATTTATCTCCCTCTTCTTTTTTTTTTTGGCCCCTGGTAAGGTCAGAACCTGGGAGGACCAGAAAGTAACAGGACAGATTTTTCCCAACAAATGAAAGTTTTCCACATCCAAATTAATAATGTCCTCCAAGGAGTCAAGCTATCGGCTTACTACCACAATGTGGATATCGCGCAAGGCGCTCTCCGAAATTACAAAATTGCTTTCACAGCCAGCTTCAAAGCCACACAATTCAATCCAAGCTATTTTCCTCGCTAGTCAGTCCATGAGCTTTGCCCCTGTGATCTCACTTGACCAGAGACATCATTCACCGGACTCTGTACTGAATGAGCATGGGTTCAGCTGTCCAAAGCAGGCACCACAGACTCCAAAGGTCATTCCAAGAAATACTTTGAGTAGGGGTAACATCCCTGTAATAAATGGTTTCCCCAAACCACTTCTTTTGAAAATCAGTCCTGTTAGTTTCAAATGCTCACCTGTGGCACCTTCCCTCCTGTCAGATTCTGCTGCCCAGGTGGGCTGGGAAGTAGGGAGAGACACAGAGATGAAGAAAACAGGCATAATCGCTGATCAGTTCACAAGCCACCCCCACCCTCCAAGAAGAAACAACTGGGGCAACCCCAAGGACAGACACAACGGCCACAAGATGGAGGAGCGGGAGGGCGGAGGCCAGAGGCGGCCACCACCACCAAAAAGGAGCGAGGAGCAGATACAGGCAGGGAAAGCTGCACCAAAATAAAACATTTAAAAAAAAAAAACCCTCAGTTTTTAAACTGTTTCATCCATTTCTTCTTTCTCTCTTCCTTTGCTGCCCTGGGTACCAATGACAGGAGAAGCCTACCTCACTTAAGAGGAAATCTTTATAGCCAGTTAGAGCTCCGCGGTCTAAACTGGGAGCGGGGGAAAGGGGGGAATGAAGACGGCTTTTCTAGAGATTCAGCAAGAGCTGTGATTAAGAAGGGAGGGGAAGACGCTGCTAGGCAGAGTCCTCCCATCTCAAAAGCTCCCTCCCCTCACCGATAAGATCTGAAGATGGACAAGGAGGGAAGCACAACCTTCTGTCAGCTCTTAAGTCTCACGGAGGTGGAAGGGAGCGGAAGGAGAACCCTGGGCCACCTCTTGCTGGCCTGGTTTTGGGCTTTAGGGACAGATTCCACGTACTTTTTTTTTTTTTAACTAAGTTATAAAATACACCCCATCACCACCTTCCCTCCGCCACCAAACCAGGGCACCATCACCCGTCACACACATCTAAGGTTGGTGGGCTTTCTTACACTCAGGGTGTCACAGATTGACAAACACCTGCACAATTCCCACGCAAAGTGGCCAAAGGAGCCTCGAGAGCCGGGGATTTCCACCTGGGAGAAAGAGGACGGCCTGGGTGACAGCCAGGGGATAGACGCTGCTGCCCAGCCCCAGGGTAGGGGGCCTGATGGGATTCCTGAGCCCCTGAAGCGCTGGTGCCCCGGGGCAGGTGGACCCCCGGCCATGCTCCTGCAGGCCTGAGGAACTCCCAAACAAGTCTTAAAATAAAGGGCAGCTCCGAAACAAGACGAGCCCTCCCCTGATGGCTCAGGGGCCTGGTCTCAATTCAGCACAGATGGGCAGGGCACTAAACGCCCCACCCACATCTCCCTTCCCATCAGCCAGAATAGCTTTGCTGATTTACTTCCCAAGCAACGCAATCCCCACTCCCGGCTCCCCTCGATCCCTGAGGGCTCCAGAAATAACAAGGGCTGAAGCGCCAGGAGCTGCTGATCCGACCCCTCCTCACAGGAGCTCCTCATGGCTCTCTTACCCTTCCCCTCCCGCCTGCAGGCCAGAAACGCTGCTCAGCAGAGCCCTGAGAAGGTTCCTCGCCATCAAACTGACCTTCCCATCACGGGGACCGGACGACACGGATAAAAACCCAGAGGCCGCCGACACTGATGGAAGAGTCCTGTCCTACCTGTCACCTCAGTAGGAAGACCGGATTCTCCCGGGGCCCTCGGAGCCAACAGAACAATGGGGAACCTGCCAACTCCATCTCCATCACAGGGACAAGCTGCCACTTACCTTTCTCTCTCTTCTTGCCTCTCTCTCCCCCTTCCCCCGCACCAGCCCTAACTGCAGCCTTAGGAGGGAAAGGGACTGGTAAAACTAGAGACAGAGGGACCTGCGCAGGGCGCGCCGACAGGGGGCTCTCACCCAAGTGGAAGGGAACTTCCATAAAAGCCTTCTCTGAATACACGGGGAAAGAACACAAAGTGTTTTAGAGGTGTCATGTCCATAATTGGAGGGAGGAACATCAAGAGGGAGTTTATTTACTCAGGTAACAGCAGAGGGCTTCCACAGAGACTAAAACCCTCCAGCTTTTCCTCAAGGAAAGAGGGGGAAATGGTCAAGGTAGTGTTTAACTGCCACATTTTCAAAAAGTGAATTCATATAGCCTTTTGGCTCAGCTATTGGGGGACAGTCTTTAAAAACCTACTAGTCTGGGCTTTGAGAAGAAGCCATACAATATTTGTTGGGATGCAACCCAACAGCTGAGGGACCCCAGGTACAAATCGTTGTCATCAAGAAAGGGTTTTCCTTTTACTTCCACAGAAGCTCCTCGGTGAGAACAGGCTCTCCCTTCTCCTGGATTCGGGTGAAGAGGGGCCGGCTGCACCTTAAAAAGTGCACAGATCCCCCCCACTCTTCCCACCCTACCCACGGTTCCCACCCTACCCACGGCAGGTCCTGCTCTCGGACTCATCAGCCAGAAACTTTTTTTTTTTAAGAAAAGTAAATTCATCTTGCTCACAGTCCCTTCTGGAAGAGTTGAGAAAGCAAAGAATTCACCAACTCAGCAGGAAACAGAAACGAGCTGTTCCATCTTTTGATACATGCAAACTAATCCCCTAGAGAGAGACGTGGGAAAGGGAGGGTAGTTAATTCTTTGGTCTCTGGTTCACTGCAGAATACCCTTGGTCAGTTTTGGCTCTCTCCTATTTTTCGGGGGGGGGGGGGGGGCGGGGAGACGTATTTTCCTTTCTTCTTTTAAGAACTAAAGTGTTCCCCAAAAGGGAGGGGGAAATGTTTTAACTACTGAACGTTAGCCAACAGAGCCCAAACTGCCAATGTCCACTCTTTATCTTTCAGGTTTCTGCGCAGGGCTTGTGCCGTGGCTGTCTTTTGTCATCTGGCTGCAGGGCGGGGCGCGAAGAGGACGGGCCGGCGGGACAGGTTCAGTCCAGGAAGCGCTGACAGGCCTTCTTCCAGCGGCAGGCCGTGCACCATTGGTCCCGGTGCTCAATGCCGTACACCTTCCGGCACTTCTTAGCCTCCCCGCGGGCTTTCCTGTCACACAAGAGTCAGGAGGGTACAGACACGCCCTGCGGGGGGGGGGGGGACTTGGGGCACGGGCGGCCAAGCAAACCAGGCAGGGGCTGGAAAGCTAGGAGGAGCCAAAGCCTCCCTGGCACCCCGTGTGTCCCCCTGCCCCACCGCCTCCCCCACACAGGGAAGGAACCCTGGAGACTCCGGTGGGTCGGTGGGCTCAGGGTCTGCATGGGCAGCGGGCAGGGTGGGGACGGAAGCCAGCGGGGAGGCATCGGGAGCAAATGGTCTCACTCACCTGGCACCGCTCTGGGCCCGGGGCGGGGAAGTAACAATCAGGTGAGATTTCCCTGCGGGCGGTGGCTGCTGGGGCTCGCTGAAGCTTAGCGAGCGGCTCCGGACCTGGGCACAGCGAGAGGGGCCGTAAGCACAGGCCAGGGACAGGAGGGCAGGAGTGAAAGGGGAGAGAACCATCCCGCAGGGCAGTGAGCCACACCTGCCCGAGCCCTTCTTGGTGCCCGGAGGGCAGGATGCCTTCTCCGGTAAGATATTCCAGGTGGAGGTGGGCAGAATAAGGGGCAGGCCTTTAAGCCATGCTTTCAATACAGTAGGTGCCCTGGGCAGGGGAGCCTCTTGACTGGCCACCCAGCGGGCTGCTCCCTGCAGATTTAGATGGAGTCACCACAGAGAACAAACGAGGGACTGCACTGCTTCAGTGGCACTTTCAGGCACTCAGGTTCCACAGTGTGTAAGGCCTTCCCATAGGAGATACTGAAGACCACGACCCACTGGGGGGGCCAGAAGGACTTGGGATTGATATTAGTTCAGAGGCAAGCAACCTAAGGCCATAGTCCACCCCATCCATGCAGGGCTCCTACAAGCTCCCATCTTCTGTCTTGGTTACCCTCATCCTCTCCAGCTTCCCCACATTCTCTCCCTTCTCCTCTGCACACTGAAACCTTAACAAGCACCCACAGATACACAGTGCTCACAAGGCACCGACCCCGGACTCCCCCAGTGACTTCCCTGGCAGTAAACGGTGCTTGATCTGGGTTCTTCTGTGCACACACCCGCCTTGCACCTCCTAAGAGGGGCTGTGAGCAGCTGGGTGCGAGGCAAGGGGAAGAGGAGGCCTTCAAGAAGTCTGGGCGCTGGAGGCAAGGGGGGAGGTGGGGGGGGCAGAGAGGGGATGGCCTCCAGCACCGGTAATGTGTGGAAGAGGCTTGGGCTTGCTCTGGGGCCCCCAAGGGTGCCCACGTGCTCAGAGGCAGGCACACTCACCGGGGAGAGGGAGGAGGCTGTGGAGGGGGCGGCAGCCCAGCTAATACTGGTATAGATGTGTGGTGACACGGGGATCTGGAAGGACGGCAGGGCCTGTCAGAGACAAGAACAGGTCAGCCTCGGGCCCACTCGGGCAGCGTCCAAGTCCACCCACACTCCCTGTAATTTCATGGGCCACAGCAGAGTACCGGCCTCCGAGCGGAGGATACCGGGACGCACTCGAACGTTCGGCCGGAGAGAGAGATACTAGCAAGCCCAAGTCTGCGAGCTACTCTCCTTAGTCCCAGGCTCCAAGCTCTTTTTGGATCCCTTCTCTCAGAGCGGGTCTTTGTGCCGGCCTCAGGACTGAATCATCAGCGTGGACTAGCGCCGGCTCACCCACCAAGAACAGGCTAGAGGCAGTGCCCAAAAGAAGTCCGCACACCTTCTGGGCACGGGCAGTATTGCTGCACGAAGTTTATGGTGTCCCCGGGCAGCCTCTCGGAAGGAGCAACATGCTCCTGGATGTCCGGGTTTAGGTCTGTTCGTGAAAGCACCAGCCGCGCTCTCTGGGTCCCAGCTCAAGAGTCAGCCAGCTGCACCAAGGGCCCCCTGAAGTTGGCCACACGTGAACTAGCCCACAGCCACGCATTCTAATGAGAAGGAGAGCGGGCTCATCGTGTAAAGACTTTCTGGCTGAAAGCACTGCTTTTTAATTACTGACTTGTAAGTCAGCCTCGAGTCTGATAAAACCAAGCTGTAGGCAGAAAAGGATTTCTTTTTTAAAAAATGGCACAAAGCGAGCTGTGCGTTCCCTGATTACCACCTGTGTGTGGTCAAGGTCACCCTACAGGTCACCCCCTCCATGACAACGTGCCCAGCCACACAGGCACAACAGCTTGGTTCTTCCTGTACCCACAATTTCTCCCGCTTCTCGTAAGGTGCTTTGACTACTATAATTAGTCAGATATATTCGTTTCTCTCTCCAGCTAAACCATGCACTTCACAAGGTCAAGGACTATGTCTTATTCTATTTGAAAAGCTAAGCCCAATGCTTGACACACAGTAGGTATTCAAAAAAAAAATGGGAACCGGATTGTTTGTTAATGTCACGCAACTTTAGGAGCTAGGATTTACTGTGGGAAGCCCAACTACACGACTCCACGCCCTCGTATAACCAGTGACGTAACAATTCGCCCGGCTACTCAGGGATTCAGCCAGATTTCTAGTCACTACCCATGACAGCCACCGATGTAGAACTCTGGAATTCCCACATTTATTGAGTGTGAAGTCATTTTCCTTTTCTTCTTTGTAGAAGTTAGAGATTAGCAATTCAGCAGAAGGCCTCAGCCTCCAACCAGGGCGGTCAGTGGCCTGTGATCAGGCTGGCCAGTGACAGGTCAGACATGGAACATCCTCGCGGCCACACGGCTGAACCCCCCAGGTGTGCCCCAGCCCCATACCTGGTACGCGTGGTCGGCCTGAATGTGCCAGAAGGAGCCAGGAGCTGACTTGCTGAGAGCTGCACCCGAGGGCAGGTAAGACTCCAGGCCAGGGTGTTCGGGGCCTGAGGACTGGGTTTTGGGAGGAGGAGGTGGAAGGAGAGCAAGGGGCGGGCTGGTCATGCCGGGAGCGGGAGCTGGGTCAGCTGTGGGCGCGCCAGCAGCAGCAGCTTCCTCCTTCAACTGCACCTCCGTGTAGTAGAAATCCTCCTCCCGCTTGAACTGGTCAGAGTCCACAGTGTCCCTGTGAGGGCAGGAGATGTGGTGATGGTCAGTTCTGACACAGGGGACACCGTGGCCCAAGAGGGACAGTGCTTGCTCAGGCCGACCCGGCCACGTCAGGGAAGGGGCCCACGAGAACGTTCACCCAGGAGCCCCACTGCCGGTGCGGAGTCACAGAAGAGTGCATGCCTGCACATCAATGGGCATGGTCTTTCCCGGCACTGAAGGCTCCTCCTTGCACATGACACATGCACACCTCCTCCTGCCGCAGTCATCTGGCTCTGCCACGGGCCCTCTCTGGGCCCCCCCACTCCGCTTGTGCTCACACCTCTCCACCCTGTGGGTCCGTTTCCACTGCCATGAGCAGCCCTGGCTCCAGGGAGTCAGAGCTAATGGAGCCCCGGCTCCCTGAGGGGAAGCAGGTGCAGAGCCCATGGTGAGGTCTCCCCAGATTACCCAAATTCTACCCAGAGCTAAAACCTCTTGCTTCCTACGGTGAGGTGGGAAGACACGTCCACAAGATGGACAGAGCGCCCTTCCCAGGAACAGCATCACCATTCACGAGAGGAGGGCCCTTCCTTCCCAGCAAAGATCTCTTTCCAACAGGCTCTTCTCCCGGGAGAGGCACCACATGGTGGTCTCAGCAAGTCATTTTCTTCGAACCATTCTCGGCTGTGGGTCATGGGGAAGGGCGGAGGAATGCCTGAGTGGGTCCCTAGGCAAACAGGCCCTGGGCCCGAGACCTACCCCAGGTGGAGGGCTTTGACGTGTCGTTTGATGCCCACAATCGAGCGCAGAACTTTGCCACAGTTTGGCCACAGGCACTTGTACATCACCTTCACGGAGTTCTAGGAGAAAGGAAGATGGGACCGTTGGGAGAGGCTCCTCATCCTCACCCCGCGGGGACTTCGGCTGGCCTCAAACAGAGCCCAACAAAAGGCTCTAGGGAAGGGATTGTCTGGGACCAGACACACGGACAGGCAGGGGCAGAGAGCCGGGACCCAGGAGATGGTCCTGGTGTCAGCAGCAGCGCGTGGTGCCGTGGGTAAGACCCCACGGGAAGTCTTACGGGATCCCTATGGGAGTGCCGCGAGGAAGGCAGGGATGGGGCAGAGGTGAGAAGGAACGGGCATGACAGAGGGGAGGAGTGAGCCCCTGCAGACAGCACAAGCGAACATGGGAGCAACGGGAAACAGAAAGGGGATGGAGCCTGAGAGCACGGAGGACCCGTGGGGCCCCCGCCGCTCCACCGCCGGCCCCAAGCCGAGGTCGGCCCCGCACCGTACTACATACCTTTCTTTTGCGTGGAGCTGGTTCATCCAACAGGAAAGCATCCGGGTCGGTCTCAAATCCATTATCAGTCTGGGGAGAACCGAAGGCATCCCCCAGATACTTGGGGCTGGCCTGGGGGTGGGGGGGCGAGGGGGTGGAGAGGCCACTGCCGGCGCTCCAGTGCCCGCTGGTGGTGCTGCTGCCGCTGTCGGACACGTCCCCGCTCTCCTTCCACGGGTCGCAGGCGGCTCGCGAAGCTGAGCGGAGAGAAGACAGGCGGCACTCACAGGCTGTCCCCCGGCCGCCGGATTCAGACCAGCAGCCCCCGTCGGGGACCATGAGGTGCAAGTCTGGAGTCTGGGTTCCTGAATCCAATCCCTGGCTCTGGCTCTGCCTGGCTCTGCCACTCCATGGCGGGCGGCGGCGGGGGCGAGACCCCCCAAAACCTCTCCTTTCTGAGCTTCCGTGAAGTAGCCCTGCTCTGCGCTAGTGAACACTTCCTACCACAGCCACACTGATAATCATTAACCAACAGACACACACTGCAACTTCGCTTTGTAGATTACTAATAGAAAATCAACCTCATTAAAATCTATTTCTCACTTTGTATGTTAGGAAAAAAAAAACCAAGCAGGGGGAGAGTAGGGTGTGGGGTGTGGGGAGGGGAAAGCCCCTCCACCTGCATCTGGGCCTAGAGGTAGGTGAGAACTTGCACAGACAAGCGTGCAGAGTCTCCCCTGGGACCCTTTCCCAGCAGCAGAGTCAGGTGGAAAGGCCGACTTGAGGGCTCCGTGGCCAGGCTTTCTTGAAAAATGCCTTTCGGTAATTAAAACCCAGGCAAGGACATCAAAACCTGCGTGTGGAAGACAATCCCGCGAGCTAGCTACAGCCCGGTGAGTCCTGCCCTCACCCACAAGTCCCACGGCCGGAGAAGGCAAGACAAACTCTGAGAGTAACTTGGACTGATCACGAGCAGACGTGGAGGCCCTTCCACCCAACACGCGCCTGCACCCACCGCCCTGCTCCCAGCAGTGCGTCTGGACACGGACACGGGTGAAATTCTCAGCTTCTATACGGCCTGTCTCCAGGCTCCTTTAGGCCAGACCCAGACTCTCCCTGCCTAGGTCATAAATCCGGATTGATAGTAATCTGAAATTCTGATGCAAGAGAAGGGGGCCAAAGCCTGTGACATGTGTAGGTATGGTGGCCATGTCCCCCGAAGCCCCAACTGCCAACAAGGACAGGTGTTCCAAGGAGCTGCCCTACCCTGGATTCTGAGACCGACTACCACATCCCCTGGGGCAGCATAAAAATCCTACTGCTTTTCTCTCATCCTGCTCCAGATCCCCAACTGCTTCTAGGCCCATCCAGACATCTGAAATAGACCCTGAGCATTACAGGTTTCCAACACAGGCTCTCCTCCATGTGAGGAGAAGCCCACCCAAACAGAATGGTATGGAGGAACTCCTCCCTCCCTAAGTATCACTGTCAAGTCTCAAAGCTCAGACTTCCTAACCCACAATTTCAACATGTACACAGGGCTTAACACAGGATAGCCCTCCGGGGCGCCTGGATGGCTCAGTCAGTTAAGCGTCCGACTCTTGGTTTCGACTCAGGTCATGATCTCAGGGTCCTGGGATTGAGCCCCATGTCAGGCTCCACGCTCAACGGGGAGTCTGCTTGAGATTCTCTCTCTCCCTCTCCCTCGGCCCCTCCCTACCCCCCGAGCTCACTCTCTTTCTCGCTCTCTAAAACAAATAAATAAATCTTAAGGGAAAGACAAAAAACAGGGTAGCCCTTCAGGGAAGAACTCAGGAGCCACCAACAGGCCAATGGGTCCAGGGCCCACAAACGTCTACTCAGGAAACCCATCGGGGAAAGAAGGGTCAGGGAGCGGAATGCTATGTCTAGTGCTATCAGGAGTCTAGAGAAAACGGTTAGGTCAAACAGCAGGCCAACCCTACAATACAGCAGCCTTCCACAGAGGAACCGTTCAAATGGCTCAAACGCTCAAACTGGCAAACTGACGTACAAAGGAAGAAAAACTTAAAAAAAACAAAACACTTAGTATCGTAAGTTAATCTCTAAGTTATAAGATAAACATAAATGAACCTACCTTAGATCAACAAGATCTTCTACGGCAAGGTTAAATGGTATTCTACAACATTTGTGCGGCAAATGCAGAGCTATGAGAGTTTACAGTGAATTTCTAAGAAATATTTATAATCTCCTCTGTTCTACACACACACATGCACACACAGCCAGCCTAACGATACAGAGAACAAAGAAAATAGGTGGTTTCTGTGCAAACCGTACCCAAGACTACAGCAAGGTATAGACCTCACCTTGCAGAATACTTCAATACCATTAGCTGCCAAGAAAGCCTTCTTTTCCCACTGACTTCGACCATAAGGTCGGACACATACTGTCATGGGAAAAAAATCTTGAATAGATGATTAAAAGTGCTTGTCCAACGGGGAACTATGCTATCAGGATCGGGCGTATTATCAGTCAGGTGTGCATATGCTGGTGTTGGGCTGCGTGTAAATAAGCATTTATGTTTGACACGTACACGTATCGCACACACCCTGATGCGAACTGGAGTCAATGATTTTCTTTCCCTTTGTGACGCTTTCCTGACCTTCCTCCTGCTGACAAACCTCCTGGGTCTCCTAAACTTGTAGAATTTCCTGAAACAGGGGCACCTGGGTGGCTCAGTTGGTTAAGCTGCTGCCTTCGGCTCAGGTCATGATCCCAGGGTCCTGGGATCGAGCCCCATGTCGGGCTCCCTGCTCAGCAGAGAGCCTGCTTCTCCCTCTCCCACTCCCCTGCTTGTGTTCCCTCTCTCGCTGTCTCTCTCTGTGTCAAATAAATAAATAAAATCTTTAAAAAAATAAAAAATAAATAAATGTGGTTAACAGTATTGAGTTTAAAAAAAAAAAAAAACAATTCTTGGGGCGCCTGAGTGGCTCAGTCGTTAAGTGTCTGCCTTTGACTCAGGTCCTGATCCCAGGGTCCTGGGATCGAGCCCCGCATCGGGCTCCCTGCTCGGCGGGAAGCCTGCTTCTCCCTCTCCCACTCCCCCTGCTTGTGTTCCCTCTCTCGCTGTCTCTCTCTGTGTCAAATAAATAAATAAAATCTTTAAAAAAATAAAAAATAAATAAATGTGGTTAACAGTATTAAGTTTAAAAAAAAAAAAAAAACAATTCTTGGGGCGCCTGAGTGGCTCAGTCGTTAAGTGTCTGCCTTTGACTCAGGTCTTGACCCCAGGGTCCTGGGATCGAGCCCCGCATCGGGCTCCCTGCTCGGCGGGAAGCCTGCTTCTCCCTCTCCCACTCCCCCTGCTTGTGTTCCCTCCCTCGCTGTCTCTCTCTGTGTCAAATAAATAAATAAAATCTTTAAAAAAAAAAAAGAATTTCCTAAAACGTAAAACGGACTCCTTCCCCGCCCCCGTTCTGCTTGTGCAGCTCCCAAGCACTAAGGGAGCAGGCGTGCGATGCTGAGCTCCGCCAACTCGGCGCCGCCCAACTGCCTCGACTCACTCTAGCAGCCTCGGCACTGACTGTGCACAGGCTCTGGGTGAAGACAGGAAGCCTGCCTCATCGCTCCTTTAAATTCACTGTCCATCCAGGGCAATTCCTCATGAGGGAAACCTGCAAAGGCCACTTTCCTCCTGGCACACGCTCTGAGCGAACCCTTATTTTCCCCTAAGCTTTTAGGTAGCTCGCAATTCAGTTAGATGTCACCAATGGAGACAAAGTTATTCCCTGGGAGTAAGTCAGGCCAGCCCTGTAATGAATTTCGAAAGAACTCCAGGTTCACTACCGGTCTCGTCAAACTGCTGGCATCCAGCAACCCTTCTTCCTCCCGTGTTACCGATAATGTATTTTGGGCATCGCGCCAGAAGGATTTTATTTTAATTCAGAAGTTTGCTGTGCAATCATACTATCGCTTTGCATTAATAGCAGTTCGATTTGTTAGACAGACTTCAGCTCGTGCATTCCAGGTCCTGGGCCTATAGGCCCGCACTGATTTACAAGGCTGAAGTAGGCACTTGGAACGGGGGCGTGAATCTTCTGAGGCCACCAGGGGACCATTTGTTAGCTTCCCCTTCGTGAACTAAATATTGCTCGACTGGCCTTGTTCAGGCCCCCACCAAAGTGCCTCGCTCACTTACTCCCACAGAAGAACTTACTCGAGCGGCCAGTGTGGCTCAGCCTCGTGCTCAATCATCTTCACAATGCACCAGGAAACTCCTCTCCAGCTGAGGAAGCTGAAGAAAAAGAATGGAAGCCTCTAACTCAGTGTCACTCAGCCAGTCTGAGGAGCTAGTGAGAAGAGACCCCGGCAATCCTACTGCCAGGCAACGGGCTGGTCAAAGCGGAGGCAGCGAGGGGCGGGCCTGCGCCACACCCAGTAGCCGCCAGGGGGCCCCCTTCCTCACCGGAGAAGTTGGCCTCGGCCCCAGGAGGGCTCTGCACGACGGGGCTGCAGGACAGGGACGTCAGCACCATGGCCGCCATCATCTCATCCATTTCCACCGCGTCGGACTTCCTGGATTCAAGTGGGTGAGTGCCAAAGGTTACTTCCTGACACAGCGGGGCACGTGATCGGCTCACACTTCTGGACTGTCCCCTCCATGCCCCCACTCCAATCACCAGTGTGCGTGCTAAATAACGCATGAAGATCTCGCCTCATTCTTCGTGACAAATACCCATTCGGAATTGCGTTTCTACCCTCAGTCAACCTGGGTGCAAGCAGGTCGGTCCCCAGGCCACTGCGGACACCTGGAGGCAGCTCCACTCTCCCCTATATTCACGACGGACCTCTCACTGGGGCTTAAAGTCAGAACTTTATTCGGGAGAAAGGAAGAGCGAAGCCATAAAATCAACCATGGGCATAAAAGATGCCTGCTGGAATTCAAAAGCACTAAAATGACCTTCCTTTCCCCGTCTTCTATTTAAACTGAAGAGGGAGCCATTACACTAACCAGTTCCTTTCCCCTCCCCTGAGAAAAATGATGAGGTATTCTGATGGCTTCTGAATCTAGTACACAAGCCAATGAGCAAGTAAACCAGAAACACTAAAATAAATCTCCTGGTGTAAACCTTAATGCTTTCCACAGCAGAGTTCTATAAAATTTTACGTATAATTTTTTAAAAACCCATATAAAGTTACATTATGTGGACGTAAACTTAGAGCTGTCTGTAAGTTACCACTAAAGTATGAAAAGTTATTCTGAAATAAATTCCTAGGTGGCTCGTCTATTTCAAAGGGTTGTATTAATTCATTCTTCACTATTCAGATCCACTGAAATACGCGACTGGGTGGGAAGAAGTTAAACCAAGACTTGTAATATACTAAACAAATTAGCATCCCCTTTTTTGTGTGATCTTTGAATATTTATTTCCGTAGAACAGCAAAACAATTTCTTTGCGGGCACTCCACTGAATTCACAATCAAAAAATTATTGCTCTCAGGGGCGCCTGGGTGGCTCAGTCGTTAAGCGTCCGCCTTCGGCTCAGGTCATGATCCCGGGGTCCTGGGATCGAGCCCCGCATCGGGCTCCCTGCTCAGCGGGGAGCCTGCTTCTCCCTCTCCCACTCCCCCTGCTTGTGTTCCCTCTCTCGCTGTGTCTCTCTCTGTCAAATAAATAAATAAAATCTTAAAAAAAAAAAAAAATTATGGCTCTGGTCTGGTCTGAAGACCCTGGATACACTGTATCAGTAGTACCCACAGACAAACACAGCAGGAGAGGTGGAATGGGGCCTAACCGCTTGCACATCCTGATTTTCCCTCTTGATCTAAAAAGATCAATGTACACTACAGTACATAATATAGAAATTAGGAGGCAAATATATATTCTCAGGGAAAAATTGTATCATAAAATTTTAAAGCAATATATACATCCTCCACTCATCGACGGTTTTGAATAACTAAGCCAGGGCTCAGCAATCTGTGGGTTGTGGGCCAACATGCCCTGCTGCCTGTTTTTATATGACTCGTAAGCGAAGAACAGCATGATTTTTATATGGTTTTAAAAATCAAAAAGAATTATCTCTTGATACGTGATGTGTGAAGATTACATAAAATTACAATCTGCGTGTCCGTAAGAACGTTTTGTTGGGGCGCAAGCATGCCCGTGTTTATGTGTCATCAGCGGAGCTGAGCTTCCAGGACAAAGACGATTTAGCTTGCAAAGCAACGTGACTTACTGCCTGGCCCGCTCAGAACAAGTCTGCGGACTCCTGATCGAAGCCATTTTTTCCTGTCTCTCATCATGAAAAACTACTGATCTTAATTTAAGGATGAAGGGGGGAAATAGCCCTTGGCCACACCAAAGATGTACCACCCATAACAGAGCCACAGGGAAGAAAAGATCCCATTCTGGGTTTTGTTTTGTTTTTTTTACAGGATGCCCCCCTCTCTGTATCCCATTTGCCCAGTATCTTGACAACTAGACACCTAGGTCTTTCATGTTCCTTCTCCATCACAAGCCAGCCCACAACCCCATACCTCACCACCCATACGACTTTCAGAGCCCAGAGCCCAGGGGCTCCCACACAAACCTCTTTGGGACATCGATGTTCCTGGAGACAGGCCTGTAGGCTGGTGCCTGGGTTCCCTGCTCGGGAGGAGGTGCCTGGGGCACGGGGCCCTGCAGCTCAGCCAGCCACACCTCCTCCGCTTTACAGCAGATTTGTAACTTCTGATCCAAAAGCCAGACAGTCACCTTATCCTCCGCCCAACTATGCTGATCCACCAGTCCTGTGCACTCCTGACCCCCATACCACACATAAACCTGAGGGGGAGAAAAAGAGCAACCAGTGGTCAGTACGTGGTAGTTCTTACATCATATGCCCTAGTTCTGAGAGCCAGGATCCACCTGCGTCTCTGACTCATTTTTTATTCAAGCAGATGCTCCCAGGTACCTGCTTCCCACCTGAGCACCCAAATTAGCCATAGTGGATCAGTTCTTCCCAAAACAGAGCCTTATAACCTCTCTAGATAGAGCAAACGTGCCAGTTTCTGGAACTTTTTTCTGATATTGGAATCTGTGTACAATTAAAGTTACTGCCTGGCCCACTCAGAACAAGTCTGCAGACTCCTGATCGAAGCCATTTTTTCCTGTCTCTCATCATCAAAAACTACTAATTTTAATTTAAGGATGAAGGAGTGAAATTCTTTTTGATGGTAACCAGGGAGAAAAAGATGTTTTCTGTAAGCTTCATGGTAACCAGAGAGAAAAAACCTCTAGTAGATACACAAAAGATAAAGAGAAAGGAATCAAAGCATAGGACTACCAAAAAAAATCAACTCATAAGGGAAGACAGCAAGAGAGGAAGAAAGGAACAAAGGAACTACAAAAGAGTCAGAAAACAATTAACAAAATAGGAAGTACTTACCTATCAATAATTACTTAAAATGTAAATGGATTAAATTCTCTAACCAAATGAATTTGGAATCTATATCCACCCTCCTGATGACTTGCTCTGTCTTGCTCTTGAAGTCCTATATATCTGCTGCCTATATATATCCCCAACTATGACCTTGAATAGATCAACCCTGCATTTTTCCCTTCAGAGAATTCTAAGTCTACCTGGGGACAAGACGGTAGGGGAGGAGAAGTAAGCTGCCCACTCTCAAGGGGTGCCTAGCAGTTGGCAGGTCACCTTATATCATGGGAAGAAAGGCCTGGACAACACAAGCCTCAGCAGGAGACAGAAGGTAGAGTCTCTATGGGCCCTTGAGAAGGCAATGCACTTGGACCTAGTGATTATATCAGGGACAGGGGATGACTGGGCCCTGCCACAAGGGGAGGGAACACTAGAAAAGAAAATCCAAATGTCATTCTGATTAAACACCTTTGCCTCTTGAAAATGTCTAAAGGCAATTCAAAGATGCAATATTATCTGTCTCTTACAAGCCTAAGATTCTTGTTTGGTCAAGTTGGAAACGGAGGCAGATTGAGAAACTGAGCCCTTGTCACGCTTTGAACTGAGGCTTTGAGTAGGCCTAAGTCTGAAATAACAGATGCCAGACAGCACTGTCACGGAGGAACCCTGGGTCTGCTAATGATGGCTCATACTCTAGGGAAGCCTGCTTCCCAAGGGCCCCACAGCTGCAAGTAAAAGGTCTGTGCACAAACTGGTGCCCAGTGAGTTTCTGGCCTGCCAGCCCCAAGCCTGGAAAGATCAGACACCTGTCCACTCGGGGATCAACCTACCTTCTGCCCAGGCTGAAAGGCCACTTGCTGGAGGCCTGAGGTGCCAGGAGCCTTGAGGATTTCCTTGGGCTGCTCCTGGCAGGACGTGTCCTTGGAGGCGAGGAAGTGCTGGGGAGCCGCCCCTTCCAGCAGCTCAGTCTGAGGCTCTGAGGGTGGGGCGGCCCCGGGGGGCCCCAGCACGCGGGCTCCCAGGAGGGACCGCTTCCCAAGGCGCCGGGACAGCACGCTGGCCATGCTGCTGCCTTTCCTGGTGAGGCAAAGGGGACAGAGAGTCCTTTATCCATTATCTGGAGGAATCAGGAAGCTTTTACTACAAGGCCCTGCGTGCAGCAGGAGTCTGTAAGTACCCATTAAAGTAGATGAAACCATTTTAAATTAACTTCTACAATTCCTTTTCTTCTTACACAAGCAACAGCCATTCCTAGTAGGACATTTACAAAATACTGGTGAGCACAAAGAAAAATCAATCACTCAAGATGCTGCCTCCCAGAGATACCCAATCTTCCTACAGAACATTCCATGCTTTCTTCAATATGTATGTATTTACATACTTCTATTTATACAAAAATGGGATCATGGTTAGGTAAACTGAATTTTTTTTCTTTTCTTTTTTTTTTTGTAGTTTTTAATTTTATTATGTTATGTTAGTCACCATACAATACATCATTAGTTTTTGATGTAGTGATCCACGATCCATTGTTTTCGTATAACACCCAGTGCTCCATGTAGTACGTGCCCTCAATACCCATCACCGGGCTAACCAATCCCCCCTCCCCCCTCCCCTCTAAAACCCTGTTTGTTTCTCAGGTCCATAGTCTCTCATGGTTCATCTCTCCCTCCAATTCCCCCCGCCCATTTTTCCCTTCCTTCTCCTAATGTCCTCCATGTTATTCCTTATGTTCCACAAATAAGTGAAACCATATGATAATTGACTTTCTCTGCTTGACTTATTTCACTTAGCATAATCTCCTCCAGTCCCATCCATGTTGATGTAAAAGTTGGATATTCATCTTTTCTGATGGCTGAGTAATATTCCATTGTATATATGGACCACATCTTCTTTATCCATTCATCTGTTGAAGGGCATCTCGGCTCTTTCCACAGTTTGGCTATTGCGGACATTGCTGCTATGAACATTGGGGTGCATATGGCCCTTCTTTTCACTACATCTGTGTCTTTGGGGTAAATACCCAGTAATGCAATTGCTGGGTCATAGGGTAGCTCTATTTTTAAATTTTTGAGGAACCTCCACACTGTTTTCCAAAGTGGCTATACCAACTTGCATTCCACCAACAGTGTAAGAGGGTTCCCCTTTCTCCACAACCTCTCCAACATTTGTTGTTTCTTTCCCTGTCCATTTTTGCCATTCTAACTGGTGTAAGGTGGTATCTCAGTGTGGTTTTGATTTGGATTTCCCTGATGGCTAATGATGATGAACATTTTTTCATGTGTCTGTTAGCCATTTGTATGTCTTCTTCAGAGAAATGTCTGTTCATCTCTTCTGCCCACTTTTTGACTTATTTGTTTTTTGGGTGTTGAGTTTGAGAAGTTCTTTATAGATCTTGGATACAAGCCCTTTATCTGTAGTGTCATTTGCAAATATCTTCTCCCATTCTGTGGGTTGCCTCTTTGTTTTGTTGACTGTTTCCTTTGCTGTGCAGAAGCTTTTTATCTTGACGAAGTCCCAAAAGTTCATTTTTGCTTTTGTTTCACTAGCTTTTGGAGATGTATCTTGAAAGAAGTTGCTGTGGCCGTATGCTACCCAGAGCAATCTATACCTTCAATGCCATCCCGATCAAAATTCCAAAGACATTTTTCAAAGTGCTGGAACAAACAATCCTAAAATTTGTATGGAATCAGAAAAGACCCCGAATCGCCAAGGAAATGTTGAAAAAGAAAAACAAAGCTGGGGGCATCACGTTGCCTGATTTCAAGCTATATTACAAAGCAGTGATCACCAAGACAGCATGGTACTGGCACAAAAACAGACATATAGACCAATGGAACAGAACAGAGAACCCAGATATGGACCCTCAACTCTATGGTCAAATAATCTTTGACAAAGCAGGAAAAAACATGCAATGGAAAAAAGACAGTCTCTTCAATAAATGGTGCTGGGAAAATTGGACAGCCACATGCAGAAGAATGAAACTCGACCATTCTCTAACACCACTCACAAAGATAAACTCAAAGTGGATGAAAGACCTCAATGTGAGACAGGTAAACTGAATTCTCAATAGCATGTGTAGGTTTTACTCTATCACTAAACGTTATTCAGTAAAAACAATAAAAACTTTTAGAAACCACACAGTATTTTCTTAGGCAGATGCCATCATTGCTAACTTAACAAATCCTTTATTATTGTACTTGAGGGCTAGATCCCTCGTGGTGCTGTTTAAGCTGCTCTGCCGGCAGGGAGCATCCTCTGAGCTCAACCTCTGCACACACATACCAAGGATGCTTCCTTAGGTCAGGTTCCTATATATGACATCGCTAAGTCAGAGCATGAGGACATTTGTCAGAGACTTGCAGATTCTGCAGCTTAGTTGGCTTCAAAGTTGCAAAGAATAACAGAAATGAGATGCCAACTCTCCTCTCCTCATTTTACACTTAAAGAAACTAACACTGAGAGCTTAAGTGACTTGTTCGCAGCAGGCAAAGTGGTCGATGCCAGAACCTGAAGGAGATCTGGTTTCCCAACTCCAAATCCAGGTCTCCTGCACACTCTCTCCAACAGCACCTGGTGTCACACTACTAATGCACTAAGGGGTGATGGAACCGTAGGACCACACCCCTGACACGGACCGAGAAAGACTATTCCAGGCCTTGGCGGGTTCATCCCAGGATAAACAGAAGCTGTTGTGAAAATGGCACGTGTCACTTCAGGATACTCCGAGGCATCCCTGTACCGTTTATCACACTGCAGAAAGCAGGGAACTGGGTAGCACTTGCCTTCCGCACTTTAGAGAGGGAAAAGCTAGGAAGGAGATTGAAACTGATGTTTCACTAGTCAAAATCCTCCTGTGTGAGAGGAAGGGTTCTACACACCCTGGCCCTCAGTGAGCCCCAGGGCTGGGGGAGGACCCTCAGGAGTTCTTTGGGCCACTCCTTGACCTTGATGCACCTACACCATTCCAGAAAACAAGAACTCTATCTTCCAGATCCCTCAGTAATCAGCATCAGTCAACAAGCTGAGTCCGGAAATCCTTCCCCTGACCTGCAGCCTCCCTGCTAAAGTGAGATGCAGGGAAAACAGAGCTGTCCTCAGGCCACATGGGCAGTACCCACTCAGAGCCTGTGGGTCCTCAGCTACAAATCACAACACTAATACTCCCCTCACCAATATCTTGGAGGAGCACATGAGAATGTTCCTGTAGAAGCTTTTCACGACCTGCGAAGTGTGACAGAAATACAAAGTAGCATTATTATGATGAAGTCCGCTCTTGTTCCAGATTCAGGGAAATGAACATTTTGGACACAGACTTCTACATAATTCTGTAATAGACTTAATTTTCATATTCTTAAAAAGATGATGAATGGTCCCATTTTTTTCCCATTGGGTAACAAGTCCTAACCCCCAGGTCATCTGGACAGCTCACCTCTGAATACCTCTCATATATACATAGACATTACATTCATACCTAGTGCTTATGAGCACTTCCTATGTGCTGGACCCTATTCTAGGTGCTGTACTGGCATTCTCTTTTCTGCAGGTACCATTTTCATCATCCTTGTTCTGCTCTCAAAAAAACCCCGAAGGCTCACAGAGATTGAGATATGACCAAGGTCAAAGTGGGTTAAGGCCAAGTCAGAGACCCCAGAACCTGCTGACTTCAGAGTCTGTTTCTTAGGAGTACACCATGCTCCCCCTCCTGCTTCCAAATATACTTTGGGTAGGACCCATGACCTAGAGCCTCTACCTCTCTATTCCTCATCTCCTTTGACTCCACTGACCTCCATCTCCACCACCTATGTCATGAACTGGCTTCAGAAGGTACTGTCCAATTCCAAAGGGGCAAGCTTTGTGCTCACAATCCCCAACCACATCCTCCTTCTTGGCTCCCCCAGCCTACCAGCTGCCCTTCTCACCAACTCCCAAGAACTGACTTCCATTAGTCACCTAACAAATGGCAGACCTTTGCAGTCCCTTCATCACCACAAACATGAATCCTTTGCTCCTGCACAGGGTTCTAGGGGCAGGTGCCTACCAGGGGGCCTAGCTGCTCTCAGGCCTCCGTCTCCTGGCAGAAGAGGAAGAATCAGACCCAGCACTTTGCAAACTCAGGGTGCCCTCCTTCTCTACAGCACTGATTCTTCAGCCATCCTGTGGTTCATTTCCTTTGGGGCCCCTAGTACATTCCTAATCTCCACTGTGCCAGGTCCTCTGTTCCCTCCTACTCATTTATTTAGTTAGTATCTAGTTGAGGAATTGAAATGTACAAAGCACATTCCCCAGTGCTGTGATAAGTATAAAATACAAGGATATTCATGGACCTCTACACCAATGCTATTTCTCCACCTGGAATGTCCCACCAGGCTACCTCCACCCCTGTCTATTAAGCTTGGCATTTCAAGAGACTGTTCCAGTCACATTTCTCCTCCCTCCCACCTCTTTTCCCCTGGCCACCCTCACACCAGAAGAAAACCATCACCATAGCTATGAATTGACTTGTTTTGAACAGTTCCACAAACCTTCTCTGCTTTTTAACCCCTCTCCCCAAGTGCATCGGGGCTTTGTTTGGGTCTCATGCTATCTCCACATCTCTCAATCCTGGCCTCTTTTCAACCATTCCAGCAAATTATGCTAAGCAAACATCTCTACAGTAACAAAATACAAACAGGGAAAATAAACTTAAAAGATAGTAATAAAGTTGCAAATATTGGGGGGCTCAGTAGGTTGAACGCCCGACCCTTGATTTTGGCTTAGGTCGTGATCTCAGGGATGCAGCCCCGCGTCAGGCTTCACACTCAGCACAGAGTCTGCTTCAGATTCTCTCTCTCCCTTTGCCCCTCCCCCAACTCATGCTCTAAGTAAATAAATAAGTAAAATCTTTAGAGTTGCAAATATTGAGAAAAAGTGTTTGGCTCGTTTACAAATATTTTTTACTCCAAGCTTCAGATAGCATGGTATCAGAATCAGATGGAATCAGATAGCACAGTATCCTCACCATGATTTCCCTAGAAAGGAAAGAACAGATAAGAAAAGGTCAGAGTCACAGCATCCTATTGAGTTCCTGTTCAGCTATC